CTAAGCCCTCGATCCTTGCAAATCACCAAACCCCAAACTTGAGACCTTTCAGCATCTTCCCTGAAGAATGCATGAAACCTCCAACTTTAGGCCCATAAGCCCTATGGGTCGTTTTCTTTATTAGGGTCCCTTTTAGGGTCCTTGTCATAAGGGTGCCGTACTATATTGGGGACCCTACAAAAAAGGGACCCTAATTTAGAGAACTACCCCTATACTTAGCCCTATAAGCACTATACTCTAGAAGCCCTAAACCCGAAGGCCTTAAACCCCGCAACGGCTCCCCAAAAGGGGCGCTCCGGGAACTTTTTTCTTGAACTATAGGGTTTAGGGTTTTGGGTCATAGGGGCCGTATGAAGTTTTATGGTGATTTAAGGTATATTCCTCAATTAAGTCATAAGGACCCTCAGGGGGGTAGGGGGGGGGATCTTGCCTGTCACAATCAAAGCCCAGTGTGGTCCCCTACCCCGTTCACCCTTACCCCCCCCCCAAGGGTCCCTATGGTTAAGGGGTATTGGGCTTCTAAACCCTAAACTCTAAACTCTAAACCCTAAACCCTGAACCCTAAACCCTGACACCCTAAATTTATGTGGGGTCCTTGGAGGCTTTGCGGGAGATGCGCGACGTGCTGAGCTTCACCTTAGAGGCCACCTGTCACAAAGCGGAGGCCCGCCCCGTGGTTTGAATTTTTTTGACTGAAGGACAGGTTTCTTATGGGTCCGTTTCTTAAAGGGTTTGTTTAGTGTTTATCGTAGGTGTTTCAAGCGTTGTTGCAGGGTTTGGAGGGCTTTAGAGGGTTTGGTCGGGTTCAGAGATTACGGCTTGGCGGGCTTTTTCGGGCTTTGTAGGGTCTCTTAGGGTTTATCGGGCAGTCGAAGGGGTAATTGTAGGGATTTGCAAGTTGGTGATCCCATACTGGGGTATGAATTTGGTATTCTTCCCAGTGACCAAGCCCTAAACCCAAGAACCTTTTTGGATGTTCAGGACTTATGGCTTCGGTTGTTGCAGGGCTTGTAAATATAGATTATAGGATTTGAGGGGTGGTTTATATGGTTGAGAGTGGCACAGACGTTCGGATGGAAATTTGGGAGGGCTACAGGCTTGCTTGGCCTGCAGAGGGGCTTTATAAAGGGTTCTGAACCTAAACCCCAATTCCTAATCCCCTAACCCGAAACCCTAAACCCAAAGCTCGAATTTCGCGGCGGACTCCTATGTCTACTGGGCGGCACGGAGTGTCGTTGAGAATATCCTTTGAACGGATGCGACATTCTATGTAGGACCGCCAAAAAATCCAGCAATGAAGATTTAGAAAAATGGTAAGCCCCAAAGCCTTTTGGGACCCTTAGGCGAGCAGACTCGAATCCAAAAAAATGGATTGACTCCAAACCTCAGCGCCCCACCAAAACCCCAGGCCCTAAGCCCTAAATTGCAGGAGGATGTCCATTTGCGGGAGCTGGTGGCGGATGCGGCGTATCTCGAGGACGGACTGAAGGGAACCCTAAACCCTAAACCCTAAACCCTGAGATGCCCTCCCCAAAAACCCCTAAAGCCCAAACCCTAAACCCCCTAAACCCTAAGACGGAATGAAGGGGTTTAGGCTAGCCCAAGAGACTCCCGAGCCCCTGAATTTAGCAACGCACTTCAAACTAAACTAAACCTAAACCTCAATCCCTACTTCGACCCCAAAGAACCTAGCGTTTTAAGAACTTATATAATAAGGAGTTGATAATAAGGAACCCCTTAAAAGGGAGGTTCTTCAGGCTCCAGGTAAACCCTCAGCCCTAAGCCTTCCATGTTAATTCTGATTTATAAGGTTCGCTGAACTCAGTTTTTTTTTTCAGTCTCTGCGTTTCGGGCTCTAGGAGAGGGAGGTTAGGATTTCGGGTAGACGTAAATCCGCAGCATGGAGCCCGCAATCCGAAGCCCTAAACCCTAAGAAAACAGGGTTTGGGGATTCTCCAAAATGCCCCAGACCCTAAGCCCCGAAACCGTAAGCTTAAAACCCGAACCCCTACAGCCTAAATCCTCGGCGCCCTCTGTCAGGAGTTTGTGCATTCACAAAGTGGCGCTCTCACCAGCGATTCGCTGCCCAACCTGATCGACGAGCTCAAGAAGCAGGGGCGCAAAGGCTGCATGTCCGAATCTATGATAAGGGGGCCTCAATAGTTGGTAAGATTTCTTCTTGTGGAGTTCCCAAGTATACATATACAGTACCCATGACTAGGATGACTTGCCTTCGAAACCTATTCCGATTTCAAAGGGACTCTGAAGCCTGAAGCCCCTGAAGGGTTTTGGGTTAAGATTGACAAGCATAAGGTGTCTTTGCCAGGAAATTCCCTCATCGCTTGCACCATCAGCATCCACAAGAGCAGAGGGTAAGATATCCCCCACAATTAATCGAGGAATCTAGCTTCGACAATAACTTGCTTTCGTTCAGATTTTAGGTACCTTGACCTACATCCTAAACTCTCCCAAAGAGGTCTCGACGGCTCTAGCCTAAACCCCAAACCCCAAACCCTAAACCCTAAACCCTAAACTCTAAACCCTAAACCCTCAATCCCTAAAGCCCCAAACCCTAAACCCCCAAACCTCCTCTCCCTGGGCTCTGAGGCTCCCACGTACACCGGCCCCTGCGGATGCTCCTGACAGGCGGGAAACCCTAAGCTCCAAGCTCTAAGCCCTAAGCCCTGAACCCTCGGAGTTTAGGGTTTAGGGATTTAGGGGTTTAGGGGTTTAGGGTCCCTCGGAGGCCTCAAAAGGTGGGATGAAGGTAGGTGGGATAGTCCCAAATTCGAGTCCTTATATCAGGAGTCCTTAATCCTACCGACCATCTCACCTTTTGAGGCCTCCAAAACCCTAAACCCTAACTCCTAAGCCCTAAGCCCTAAGCCCTAAGCCCAAACTCCTCGATCTCCGTTTAAGGGTTGACAGATGCCTTTCTGGGCGGGGTTTTGCAGCAAGTTTCACCTGCATTTAGTAGGTTGGAGTTGCAGGAATGAGTTGTAGCTGCGATTCAAGCTTCCTACTCAGCTAGAGTTTTTTTGATAGGGGTTTTGCAGGTTGCACAGGGTGCACTACAGAGTTTTACAGGGGCATTGCCTTCAAAATTTCATTTTTGTTTATTTTCTATACTTGTATTTAGGTAAGACCCGAAACCATGCCCTTCAAGTCAGAAACCCCGACACCCCTCAACTCAGGTAAGTCGTAAACCCTTCTAGGACCCTTAAAGGAACCCGAAATGTATCGTAACTGGTGCTGAATTCGTTGGCAAGAACACTCTCCTACCATAACTACAAGGAGGCGTTTTTTGGACTGAGGGGCCCGAAGAACCCCCGAGCCCAAAGGCTTCAACCCCAACAGTACCTCAACTCTACTTAGGAGGGCGGGACATAGCAAGTAGCTAAGAAGTATAGACGTAGAAGCACCGTAAACCGGGTCCTAATGGGAGTTATGACACTTAAAAGTCCATGAAATACGGGTGATGATTTAGATCCTGCATTACCTTAAGGACCCTGGACTTTGGGAATTAAGAGAAACTCGAAACCCTCCTATTCGGGATGAGAGTGGACGGATGAGTGTTGATGGATGAAGGTGTCGAAACTGCAGAAGCCTGACGAGATTTACTTAAGACTTAAGATTGAGCTGTCGCCCGCCGCTGTGCCACTTATTTTGGGCGCCACAACACCGCCACAGAAGCTTGACAGATGGTAGGAACACACATGCAAAGGCTCTGAAGCTCCTAAATGCGAAGGTCGAGGGGCCTGTAGCCCAAAGCCGCACCAAACAACAAGAAACGCCCAAAGCGCCTTGGCAACCCATCTCTAAACCCTGAAGCCCTAAACCCTCAACCCATCTCTAAAGCCTACCAAAGCCCTAAACCCTTAACGCATCTCTAAAGCCTACCAAAGCCCTACACCCTAAACCCATCTCTAAACCGTAAAGCCCTAAACCCTTGACCCATCTCTAAACCGTAAAGCCCTAAACCCTTGACCCATCTCTAAACCCTAAAGCCCTAAACCCTGAAGCCCTATCTTTAAACCCTAAAGCCCTAAACCCCACCTCTCTTGGCTGTGCAGCCTCTTGGAACCTGCTGGCTTCATGAAACGGGACTTCCAAGCAAAAAGGCCCTCACAAACCCCCAAAACCCCAAAACCCCAAAACCCTAGACCCTCCAAAAAGCAACCCGCAACACCCCAAACCCCCAAAGCCCAAAACCCTAAACCCTAAACCCGGGCTTCGGAGCGCAAGCGACGAAAAGGGCCCTTAAAAAAAAAAACCTAACCCAAATCCTAAACCCTAATCCAAACCCTAATATCATTATGATCCGGGATGCTCTAGGGGCTCTCTAAGGCGGCGACCTGGCAGTCCATGTTGGTTTCCGGGTTTAGGGTTTAGGGTTTAGGCAGAGCCCCTGACAGATTCCCGTAGAAACCCAAAAGCCTTAAAGCCTAAAAGCCCTAGGTAGAACCCTTGACCCCAGACCCCTTCAAGAAATCGGTGTCGTTCTCTTTTTTCTGCAGGGCGAGGAAGGATGATTTGGTTTCGGGTTGATGCTACGGCACAGAGCGTTGTTTCGAGTAAATGTCGAGCTTCAGGTATTGAGGTCTGGGGTCGGGGTTTAGACGGTTTGGGCTCCAGGGTTCAGGGTTCTTGCGGTTCAGAGCTTAGGGTTTTAGTGTTTAGGGCTTTAGAGGTTCGGAGGGTTGAGGACGGTTTATAGCGAAGGCAGCTGTGGTGACCTCCGATGAAGCGCACGGTTCGATCGTGCCTAGCCATTTTGGCTTCGGCGCTTCTCGTCACCAGAGCTTGTGATTGCAAACCTTCATTGGAGCTGCAGTCTTGGTATCGATTCCGAAGCCTGCTGCATTTCAAGATTCGCAAGGCAAGTAACAAACGCACAGCTTAATCTCAGGCCTGACTTTTTGGATGTCGCCAGACTTGCCAGTCTAGCCGCTCGCCGCTAGTTGCCGAAAAGCCGTGAGAAGCTAAAGCCTATATAGAGGATGTGGAAAGTGCTGCTAGCGTCTTGGGCGCTCTCTGCTTGTGTGGACGCCGGCAGCGGAGGAGGCCGGAATCTGCGGGGTCGTGGCGGTGGGAACAGTGATGACAGCGACGAGGGCGGCTTCCCGTTGACGACCGTCCTGATCATAGCCGGCACGTGTGTGCCCTTCCTACTCTCGGTGATGCTCGGTGTGTGGCGATATCGAAGGCAGCTTGCTGCGATTGTTCCGATGCCTGAGCCGACCAACAAATGGAGCAACGAGAAGGTGACGATGGAGGACCGGAGGAAGTTCCAGGATGAGGAGGAGCAGAAGGCCCAAAGCCCTAGACCCTAAACCC